TGCACTTTAAGCATTAAAACACTAATAAATCTCAACTCATTTATCCAATAATGTTGATTCTAGTTAATATCTCTGCTTGATCAACATAGAAAGTTTATCTTTTGGTTACACCAAACTCTGGGAGCTATAAAATCTTTGCCAATCCCTGTTTCATCAATATATATAAATTATCTTTCTTTTTACTATGTTGCAAAATTGTTAAAGCTACAAATACTATTTGCTTTTGTTGATACTAGTTTTTACTCTAAAATTAATTTTTGATGAGATCTTCTAAGAAAAACCTTGCTTAATTGAAAATATTGTAAAAGTCCTCATATATTTTTTGCATAGAGCTAAGCTAAATTTATGTTTATTGATTCAAGTAGTATTTAATCCAAGTATGATATGATTCATCAACCTAAAATATATAATCTAAATATCTATTTTTTCTTAATTCAATCCGAAATGAATTTTATCTTAACTTGCTTTCAGAAAATCCCTTTCCAGCGGCTTGAGTGGTTAGTTGAATTTTTTTATTTCAATTTTCAGATAATTTACTGAATTTGAGGTTTGCAATTTGTTTTTAATAGATATCTATTTTGCTTGTTTAATTTACTTTTAAATTTCAATTTTTTTCTATTCAATGAGTGATTTTATTAAATAGTTGAGGAACAGACTTGTTTATGTGAAGAGATTAATTTATTTATTTAATTAATATACATTGAATGTATGTTAGAATGTAGACTAGATTGTTTTATAATCTCCCTCTCTATTGATTATTTAATCATTATTTTTGTAAATATTCAAATTAGAAAATCATTATTATTTTGATAGAATAATCATTAAAGTAAACATATATACCTAATCCAATATTGTTAAGCTTTATATTTTATAAAGAATAATAGCTCTCTCTCCAATAGACAATTTTATGAATCTAATCTTTTATCAATTATTGCTTCATGATTCACTTTTTTGTTCTAGATGTTTTGAGAAACAAATCAAAAATTAAATTTAATTTTATTGTCCCTTAGAAGATATAATTAGAAGATAATAACCTTTTATAAATTTGAAAAATAATTGATCTCATTTTAGAATTAATTCCTGTAATGATAATCAGTAATTTTGTCTTTTAAAAATTTATCAATGATTGCAATTATTAAAAATAAGAAAATATTAAATATATGGTCATTAATAAAGATTTGAAGTAAAGAAATAAAAAAAATTTCGAATTATTTGTCCAACAACAATTTACAACATTTTGTTACTTAAAAAAATATAATCAGCATATTATGAGTACTTATATAAATTTATTTTATTACTTTTTAGCTCTATAAATATTTTCAAACTCTTGATCACCTCTCTTAAAAAGTTATCATTTCTAAAACTATAATATGATTGTCGTGAAATTCACCTAATGACTTCCTCCAAGCCTTAACCAAAAGGGATTCAGTCGATTTACGTTTAAATCTGTCCAATCATCGCCCAAAATCATAATTCTCTATTCTTTTTTTATTTATACCATATTTGGAAATAAGCAAGTATGTAATTAATTTCAGGCTGTTCTTTTTTTTACATATTTAGATATTTATGCATTGGTATTTAATAAGGAGTTTTATAAAATTAATAGTATTATGTAATTAATTGTTTTATCTATTATTCTGAAAGGATAATTGATAAATCGACCAATTTTATAATATTAATATTAAAATTATAGTTGATAATCAGAAACAATTACCTGATAATTTTAAAGAGTTTTTCCCTTTTCTTTAAATTGCATTAAGGGATTTCAATAGTAAGAAATTGTATAAACTGTAAAGAATCTTATAAAATTTTTCTAAGAATAATAGCAATCATATATTAATATATCACTAATCTATCTAATATTTTTAGTATATTTTAATTAAAATAATGATTAACATCTTACCTCTATATTCAATTTGGTTAACTCTTGTAATTGGTAGTTAACTGGATTTAAAAATTCTCCAATTTGATTATCAATATATTCTTTTTTGTAGTAAAATTATTATATTTATCAATATTTAATATCATAGATGATTAGATTTAATTAAAAAAATTATTACTTATAATTAAAAAATTGTAATCTAATTTAAAATGATAATTTTATCATAAAAATAAGCTTTATAATGATGTTTATATCTATTAGATTGATTAGAGGATTTTTTGTTCAGTTCATTAATTTAACACTTGAATATATTGTTTTGAAAATAGGTTAGGATTAGTAAATGGATATATGAAAAAAAACTATGTAATTATAATCAAAAGTAATGAGAAATTATAAAATCACATGTTTGATATTTTTGAAATCAAACAAATAATCTGTTAAAGTATTTTAGAATTTTTGTTTCTTCAATAATGAATAGGAATTATGAAAATCCTGACACTTGATTACTGATTGGCTTAGATTGAATATTATAAAATAATATTACATTAAAAAAGATATTTATGAATGAAGTTATCTAATTTTTTTATTTAATTATTCCATCTATTTAAGTTGCATTTTGAGATAAACCACTTCATTAGATTTATAAATTTAGTTACTTTATGTAATTTCTCAATAATTAGAGATATTAAAAAATATGATTCTTGTGAGGAGGTAAGAATTATATAATAATTATACTTTTGTAAAATCAATCTGAAACCTAAAAATTAAAACATTATTTTGATAGTATAGATATCATATTTTGAGTATCATGAATTGATATGTCTTTCTTTTTTTCCTAATTAATTATTTTTTTTTTTCCATTTAAATTAACATATGCAGATGTATAATACTAATATTATTAATTTTGAATTATCTTGATATATATTTATGAAATGAAATTCAATCAAAAATTTGTTAAAAAAATTACTGAACTAACTAATTCTTTAATCAAATAAAATTTAGAATATATTCAAGAAACCAAAATAAGCACATTTTTCTAAAGAGATTATAAATCACAGAGATCATCTAAATGAGGCCCTAAAATAGTGGTTATTATTTCTAGATACTGGGAGAGAAAAGAGTTGCTTCTATCTAAAAACCTTCTACTTTTTAATGTAACTTAAATTTATATCTTATTAAGTAATGATTTTAGATTTATGATGTCTGCTCCCTTTTTTTATCCTTTGACATCAATTAATTGAAAGTAGGTTATTTTGGCTGAAAGAATTTTCATCAATTTATATTAATTTTCCGCACTATTCTTTGATTGTGAGACTATTTGTATAGATTAGAAAAATGATGCAATTTAGACAGTTTAAAGCATGAAAATTGATAGATATTGTTATCAAAAATTGAAAAATGTGATTATTTATTAAAATTTTAACCTTTTCAATTGCTCTAATCTAGATTAATAGAACTTTACTCAGCAAAAGATTTATTTGATATTTAACAAACAAGCCAAGTAAATGTTGTTTTCCTTTATAAAACTATAATTTTTCTTCCAATTAAGAAATCACAATGCTCGATAAAATTTATTGGTTCACATATTGAATCAATTTAGGTAAACATATATTTAATTAATAATTTAGGTAACTCTTTAGAAGTTTCACAATTCATTTAGTAAATAGTCTGTATTTATCATAAATGAAAACTTATAATTTATATTTTAAATTGAATATCTATTCCTTTTTTACTTTTTATTTCAAGGTCTTTTTTTTGAAATAAAATTTCTTGAAATATTGATTTGTAGTAATATCTAGTATTTTATTCTTTTCCTATATCTCAAAAAGAGAATTTGAATAAAATAATGATTATACTCAAATATTAAAATAATTAGTTAATTAAGATAAATATTACGATCCATCATTTATTTTCAAATCCGTTTTACTGTACCTGATGTCATCAATAATAAATGGTATAATAATTTTATTTCTATTTTATTTATTTGTACAAATAATAAATTTTAATTAATTTATGAAATTTTGAAAACTAAAAAAATATTTTGATTAGTTTGATTAAAATTGAAAAAATCCATTCCCAACGCCTGAATCGCTTAATGATTTCATTATTAGATATTCTCTTAACTCGAATAGTTGAATTAAAACAATATATGTAAGGACAAAAGTCTTATTTATTATTCATTTTCTTATTTATTACATATCAAATATAAAATGAGTTAGTAAATTTTAAGAAATAGTTGGAGACCAATATTTTATTTCTCATTATTAATTGAAGATTAAAATTTTCTAGGGACTTAAGGTAAATTTTGGTTAAAATTACAAAAATGGTCAGACAAAATATTGTCTAAAATTTTCTATAGAGCAGTTGACAGTTGATAATGAATTCTAAATTTCAAACTAACTTGTAAAATTTTTATTGTTTTTGTAGTTTTACAAAATGTATAAAAAGAATTAATTCTATATATTTTAAATTTTAAAAATAGGTAAAAATCATGAAAATTTATTTATATTATATTAATTAGTAGAATTAAACCTTAAATAATATATTCTAATATAATAAGTATTACTTAATTCAAATAAATTCTTTAATCAAAATTAAAGTACTGTCTTCACCTGATTTGATATTATTTTTACAATATAAAGGGTATTAATTAATCATTAAATTTCCATTATTTTAATCATCTGATAATTTTATGATAAACTTATTTTCTAAAATTTATCGAAAATTGAATTAATCATTTACTCATCATACAAATAATATTTCAATTAACTTTACTTAAACTTAAAATTTTCTATTATTTTTCTCTATTTTCAAATTACTTTTGGATTTAGATCATTTGATATCAAATATTTTGATTTTTATGAATATTGATTTCAAAAAAAAAAAGTCTAATTGATAAATATTTTTAAAAAATGGGTCATTAATTATTCGGACTGTTAATATTCTATTAAAAATTAATACTTAAGAATATAATCATATGATAAAATAAACATTTTGGAAATATTAATGAAAATGTTTTTATTCATAACCATAATTTTACTGTTATTCTTATCTTCATTTTTTTGCTATTTAATTAACATTTTATTATGTAATATTCATTATTAAATAAATAAAATTAATGTTTTTGATTATGTCAGCAATTTAAGTTTTCCTTGCTCAAGCGAATTGGGTAATGGTTGATTAAAGTTTTTTGAGTGGATTCACTTCTACTAACAACTGGTTGATTTATAAAACATGCAACGCTTTTGAATCTGGTGCTAGCTTTTAACATTGTACTTGCTCATAAAATTAAATAAAATATACACGTCTTAAGAGAGACAATTAAAGACTAGATAAGAGTTTTAGTATAAAAAGTTACTAATCAGAAGTAATAGTTGATATCCTTTTTGATAATGATATTTCAAGCCCTAGTGATAGAAAAGTTTACTTCACATTGAACTTAACATCACCAAATTAAATTTTGAAGTAGAGAGACTATTTCAATTCTGGTTTAACCCAAAATGCTAGAAGAATATGCAATAATACAGGATCTATATATTTTGATTTCATTACATATGTAGGTACATCTAATGCATAATATAAAGAAATATTTAGTATATCAATAGGTATTGAAGCAGATGATGACTTGTAAATTCTAGGCATTCGAAATTTATTTGTTTATGTCAAATATTGTTTACCCACTTGCAAAACTTGTTCAAGTTCTACTAGTTGTCTAACATGTTATTATGGTACTCTATAATCAGGCAACACTTGTAATTGTGACCCTTCTCATTAATTTGCTTAAATTGGAATTGGATGCCGATAAGAATGTGAAAGAGATTACTTTATAGCAAGATCAGATAATATTTGTGTCCCAGATAGAAGAATTAAATCACTTGTTTCTTATTTTGAAACTACAACTTTCAGTGCTTATTCTCCTTTTTAATTTGTTCAAGATTCTGCAAATTCAAGAAGTTCTCCATCTTTAATTTTCACTTGTTCATCTACTAGCTATATTGGAAATTTGCTTTATAGTGAGGGAATGAGTTTATAATTGGCAACTTCCTAATCCTTAAAATTTATTAGACTAAGGATTACATTTTACTTAAAAGGTTTTTAAACTGATAATAAAATATAAATAATATTAGATGACTAAATATAAGGATAAATAATCAAAGACTCATCTAGTTACACTTTTGATAAAATAACAAAAATTTATAGTTCAAGTGTCACATGCACAAATACTTATGATTTAATAAGGATAGAGGCAATTCTTCGAACTTACTCTAATACTCCTAAACTTATTTTAAAAGGAGCATAGTTAACTTTGGCAACTTCGACATGGGGATTCAGAAATATAACAATTGATAGTGGGAATTGTAAGGAAAATTGTGCAGTATGTGCAGATTTTTTAACTTGTTAACAATGTATCACGAATTATGTGCTATTTTAAAATGGTTGTGTCAGTGCTTGTCCAGTGCATTCTGCTAATTGCATTGATTATGCAGATATGATACCAAGTAATTTAAAATAATTTATTTTCAGACTCTCGCTACTTAGCATAAGGATTTTATAATTTAAATATGAGTACATCAGATATAAGCAAATACTTAGATGAAACTGTTCCAACTGGTAGTAATTTCTTGACGGGATAAAACTTTTCAATTTTTCCAACTAAATTTGTTTTAGGGGGTGTAATGGTATGGAATAATGCAATATATAAAAAATCATGGAGTATATCCAAACCACACTATGCTGTTACAATAAGATTTAACGTCATATATGGAGATTAATATGCTGGAAATTTTTATTATACCATTTAAGGAGTAAAATCAGTTGCTCATCCCAAACCATCAACAAGTGGTTAAAACATTATTGGTATGAGTTTAAATGAAATAACTTAATATTTTGAAATTTTCCAGAATCCATTCACATCGTCTCCATTAAATATTGAGTTTCAATGTACAGATACAACTGTAGATCCAAGAGACTAATTTTGCGCAATTTCTGATTACTTTATTGTTGTTCACTATGTAAATATTTTCATTTAATATTAAGTGTCTCCCATTTTGTCAAGATTGCAATGATGGGGTTTCTTGTGTTACTTGGGAATCTGGACATTTAAATGAAAATTGCGATGTTAATTAGTTTCTATAATTTGATTCTATTTCAGAAACTTATAATTGTATTACATGTAATTAACCTGGATGTTTAACTTGTAAAAATTTGGAAGAATGCACTTCCTGTGATTCTTCAAGTTAATATAATACTTTAATAAATGGAGTTTGCTTACCAATTAATCCTCCTTCACCTCCAAGTCCATCATTATAATGTCATAAATATTGTGAAACATGTACAGGAGCTTTGATAACTAATTGTCAAACCTGTGTTTCTGATTTTCATAGGATTTTATCCAACAATTAATGTTTATGTTAGTCTGGGTTCTATGATGACGGAATAAATGTAATTTGTCTTCCTGTGTGTGGAGATCTTTTAATTGTTGATGGAGAAGATTGTGATGATGGTAATTCTANTTGATTATGCAGATATGATACCAAGTAATTTAAAATAATTTATTTTCAGACTCTCGCTACTTAGCATAAGGATTTTATAATTTAAATATGAGTACATCAGATATAAGCAAATACTTAGATGAAACTGTTCCAACTGGTAGTAATTTCTTGACGGGATAAAACTTTTCAATTTTTCCAACTAAATTTGTTTTAGGGGGTGTAATGGTATGGAATAATGCAATATATAAAAAATCATGGAGTATATCCAAACCACACTATGCTGTTACAATAAGATTTAACGTCACATATGGAGATGAATATAATGGAAATTTTTATTATACCATTTAAGGAGTAAAATCAGTTGCTCATCCAAAACCATCATCAGGTGGTTATAACTTGATTGGTAAGAATTTAAATGAATATACAAAATATTTTGAAATTTTCCAGAACCCATTCATATCGTCTCCATTAAATATTGAGTTTTAATGTACAGATACAACTGCAGATCCAAGAGATTAATTTTGTGCAATTTCTGACTACTTTATTGTTGTACATTATGTAAATATTTTGATTTACTTTTAAGTGTCCCCCATTTTGTCAAAATTGCAATGATGGTGTCTCTTGTATTACTTGGGAATCTGGGTACACAAGTGAGAATTGCAATGCGAATTAATTTTTATAATTTGATACTAATTCAGAAACTTATAGTTGTATTACATGTAATTAACCTGGATGTTTAACTTGCAAAAATTTGGAAGAATGCACTTCATGTGATCCTTCAAGTTAATATAATACTTTAATAAATGGAGTGTGCTTATCAACTAATACTTCTCCTGCTCCAAGTTCATCAGTGTAGTGCCATTAAACATGCGAAACATGTACAGGAGCTTTGATAACTAATTGTTAAACATGCGTTACTGATTTTCATAGGATTTTATCCAACAATTAATGTTTATGTTAACTTGGGTTCTATGATGACGGAATTAATGTAATTTGTCTTCCTATTTGTGGTGATTTGATAATTGTTGAAGGAGAAGATTGTGACGATGGTAATTATAATCCTTATGATGGATGTAATAATTGTAAATTTGATTGTGATGATATTTGTAAAGAATGTTTTTGGGGAATTTGTTTTGATTGTCAAAAAGGATTTTAGATTATGGATAATTAATGTATTCCCATTTGTGGTGATAATATTTTAGTAAAAACAGAGGAATGTGAAGATAGTAATTATATTCCAAATGACGGATGCTATAATTGTAAATTTTCATGTCCAGATCATTGTATTGATTGCTAATTTAATGAATGTGTCAAATGCGATGAATTAAATGGATGGTATCTTGAAAATAACACTTGCTAGCCAATTTGTGGTGATGGGATAATTGCTTCTACTGAATCTTGTGATGAAGTAAATATAATATTGTAATCTGGATGTTAAAATTGTTAATTAAAATGCCAGAATGAATGTTTAAGTTGTATATTAGGATAATGTTATGCATGCAAAGAAATTGGATGGGAGATTGACTAAGTTTCTGGAGAGTGCAAGCCTTTTTGTGGGGATGGTATTATTGTAGGAAATGAATAATGCGATGATGGTAATGATATTGACCAAGATGGTTGCTTTGAATGTTAATTTGGGTGTTAAATTGAATGTACAGATTGTTAATAAGGAGTTTGTTTAGAATGCGATACATATGGTTGGCAATTAAATGAAAATTAATGTATATCTTTATGTGGAGATGGCTTAATTGTAGGAAATGAATAATGTGATGATGGAAATTTAATTTAATTTGATGGATGCTATGAATGCTAATTTGAATGTTAAGTTGAATGTACAGATTGTTAATAAGGAGTATGCTATTCCTGTGAAGTGTAAGGCTGGTCTTTAACCGAACATCGTTGTAATCCTGTTTGTGGAGACGGATTTATTATTGAGGGTTTAGAAGAATGCGATGACGGAAACGATTTAGAAAATGATGGATGTTATTAATGCTAGATTAAATGTTAAGATGGTTGTGTTGAATGCCAAAAAGATAAGTGTCAGAGATGCTAAGATAATTTGTATGTATTGGATGTTTAAACAGAAAAATGTATTCAAAAATAAATCAATGATGATGATAATGATATAGATTTGAATAAAATGTTGTTGGTTTAATTATCTAATTTTAGATGTGGAGAAAATTACTTACTTACTGATTATAAATGTGTTAATTAATGTGGAAATGGATTATTAAATAGTTAATATGAAGCATGTGATGATGGTAATCATTTTGGAGGAGATGGATGCTCTTCTTTTTGTAGTATTGAAGATCAATATCAATGTGAAAGTTAATAAGATTCATTAAGTTTATGTACATTTATGAAGGCTCCAGAATTTAATTTGAATATTATTTCAGATAAATCTAATTCTACTCAAACTGTAGAATTAACTTTCACTTAACAAGTTTAATTAAAGGAAGAATTATAACTTGAAGAAATTATTGCATTTACTATTACTCCTTAAACTCAATATGTATTAACAATTTTTAGTATCTAAAATATAACTACTGACTTAAGCTCACCTAAATATTAAATTATAATTGAATTTATAGAATCCATATAAGATCCTGTTCTATAAGTCGATGTGGAGAAAAATACTATACACAATTCATTTTAATTAGACTTATAGAACAATTAAATGAAAATCAAACTTGGTACTCCTTTTGTGTTACCCGAAAATACTAAAAAATAATTAGTTTAGTTTGTTAAATTGAATGATGCAATGATGTATTCTATGGCTAGCATATCAAGTTTGGCTTTGTTAACAGGAAATGCAATTATGTTTTTTAATCTATTAGATTTATTATAGTCATTATCTTATATTAGATTTATGAGATATTAATTTCCACCACATTTATAAGAATTCTTAAACACCTACACTAAAGTCTCATTGCAACCAATTTTAAATTATTTTTAGATAGATTAATTATTGACTAAGTTAAATGGAGGAAGTAATAAAAATTAAGTGAAAACCAATTTGAATTAAGATCCAAACAATATTTNTTGTTAATAAGGAGTTTGTTTAGAATGCGATACATATGGTTGGCAATTAAATGAAAATTAATGTATATCTTTATGTGGAGATGGCTTAATTGTAGGAAATGAATAATGTGATGATGGAAATTTAATTTAATTTGATGGATGCTATGAATGCTAATTTGAATGTTAAGTTGAATGTACAGATTGTTAATAAGGAGTATGCTATTCCTGTGAAGTGTAAGGCTGGTCTTTAACCGAACATCGTTGTAATCCTGTTTGTGGAGACGGATTTATTATTGAGGGTTTAGAAGAATGCGATGACGGAAACGATTTAGAAAATGATGGATGTTATTAATGCTAGATTAAATGTTAAGATGGTTGTGTTGAATGCCAAAAAGATAAGTGTCAGAGATGCTAAGATAATTTGTATGTATTGGATGTTTAAACAGAAAAATGTATTCAAAAATAAATCAATGATGATGATAATGATATAGATTTGAATAAAATGTTGTTGGTTTAATTATCTAATTTTAGATGTGGAGAAAATTACTTACTTACTGATTATAAATGTGTTAATTAATGTGGAAATGGATTATTAAATAGTTAATATGAAGCATGTGATGATGGTAATCATTTTGGAGGAGATGGATGCTCTTCTTTTTGTAGTATTGAAGATCAATATCAATGTGAAAGTTAATAAGATTCATTAAGTTTATGTACATTTATGAAGGCTCCAGAATTTAATTTGAATATTATTTCAGATAAATCTAATTCTACTCAAACTGTAGAATTAACTTTCACTTAACAAGTTTAATTAAAGGAAGAATTATAACTTGAAGAAATTATTGCATTTACTATTACTCCTTAAACTCAATATGTATTAACAATTTTTAGTATCTAAAATATAACTACTGACTTAAGCTCACCTAAATATTAAATTATAATTGAATTTATAGAATCCATATAAGATCCTGTTCTATAAGTCGATGTGGAGAAAAATACTATACACAATTCATTTTAATTAGACTTATAGAACAATTAAATGAAAATCAAACTTGGTACTCCTTTTGTGTTACCCGAAAATACTAAAAAATAATTAGTTTAGTTTGTTAAATTGAATGATGCAATGATGTATTCTATGGCTAGCATATCAAGTTTGGCTTTGTTAACAGGAAATGCAATTATGTTTTTTAATCTATTAGATTTATTATAGTCATTATCTTATATTAGATTTATGAGATATTAATTTCCACCACATTTATAAGAATTCTTAAACACCTACACTAAAGTCTCATTGCAACCAATTTTAAATTATTTTTAGATAGATTAATTATTGACTAAGTTAAATGGAGGAAGTAATAAAAATTAAGTGAAAACCAATTTGAATTAAGATCCAAACAATATTTTAAACCAACTTTATATATTCAATGCTAAAAGTTGCTATTTTTCTGTAATAGCATCTATATTAAGTTACTTTATTTATTGCATATTAGTATCAAAATAATTATAAATTATCATTTTCAAACTTGAAAATAAATTTAGAAAAAATTCGAAAATTATAAAAATGATTCATTTATTTCAAAAATAAATTCAAAAGAAATGCTTAATTTAAAAAATTGAATACTTTTCTTTAGGAATTTTTAAAGTATATTAAGCAATACTACATTAATTTATGTTCAGTGCTATATTATAATTTCCAAATTATAATTTTGATTCTCCATTTGAAATTTTCAACAGTATCAATGCTATTATTGGATTATTGTTTATTTTAATAGCTACTTTTCCATTACTTTCAATTACTTCATCTAAAATAAAAAACGAAAGAAGATGGAAGTACTTTTATTTTGAATCTTAAGCATCATTTTGGGCCTTATAATTTAAGCCTTTTTAAATTTACAAAGTCTTACTTTATATTTTAATTATTGTAAAATTAATCAACTATCCAGAAGCATAATCTATTTTACTATCAATGCAATCATTCTTATTTTTAATATATTTGATTAAATTCAAGCCCTTGAAATCAGTTTTTGAACTTTCAAAATTAATATGTCGAGAATTGTTATTTTTGATAATAACCGGATCATTTTTATTTTATAGTTTTGAATTAAGTTAATAAATTGATATAATGGTTGGGTGGATCCATATTGGAATGTTTTGTACTATTTTGGCTTCTAATTTATTAATAGACATACTATAATAAATTATGAAAATATATCAAAATTATTTGTAAAAGAAAGAAAAGGAAAAGATTGAATAAGAAAGAAAATATTATTTTAACCATTTACAAGGATTCTAAGTAAATTCTAAAGATTATTCAATATAATAATGATAATTTCATTTAATATTAGGAATATATATATAATATTTAGAACCCAATATTTATCAAGTTTTTAAGCTGATAAATAATTTTTGTTTATTTCTAAATAATTTTTTATAGTTCTGTAAGAAATCTAATTAATATAAAAATTAGAATAAGTAAGTAACTAATTTATTAGACTATCAAGGGCAAGTTTGTACTCTTAAGAGTTCTTTTAAACATTATGAACCCTAAAGAATTCTTGTAAATCGATTTATCTAAAGGATCTAAAAAGGTTAATATTTTTGCAATGGAGTCAAGCAAAAATGACATTATGATCTTAAATTTATGGTCTATAATATCTATTCATTACCATATTTTTAATTGATTTAGATGATCAGCTATATTTATGTGTTCTGCATTCTCTATTTCTATTAAAATTAATATTACAATATATAAGAATTAGTTTTGATTTAATTCAATTTCTTTATTAACTAACATAATATTGACTTAAAAACTTACAACATACTTGTTATTTGATAAAGAAAGTCTAGTTTGATAAGATAATCTTTCAAGTTACCAGTTTTCAGATTAAAAAAATACCAAAAAAAGTAGTCTATATTAAGGAACAGAATAATTGTGCTTATTATATTGCTCATAGTTTTGCTATTTGATTTAGAATAATTCAATTTGATCAAAAAGGATTAATTTTAAATTAGAACAATTCAACTCATGATCATTACTCATTTAATAAATTCCTTCTAAGACAAAAATAGATTTGAGCCTAATTTATCTTCTTTTTAATTTAAATATGCCTAGATAAAATAATTTAATTTGAACCATTTTAATGATTATAAGAATTAATAAAAGAATTATCTAGAGTATCAAATAAGAAAGATAAAATAATAAAGATAATTTAGCATCTATTTCATAAATCAAAAATTTTTTATCTAAATTATCAAAAAACTTTCTATTTTAGCATTTTTTGTGATTTAACCATATGTTTAATAAAATATTTTATTTCATTTTATTAAGTATTTTAAACAAATCTAGGCTTAAGAGTATGAAGATCTCAAATATTTACTCTGAATTTACTTTTTTTATAGTTGGAATTTTTCCTGTAAAGTATAACAACATCTAAATACTTCTCTTAATTTTATTCATTCTTTATCAAATGATAATATATATTTATTATTTTCATATGAAACTAAACTAATTCAATATAATTTAATCTATTTGGAAAAATTTTGAGTTTATTATTGAATTCCATAATAATGAAATCAATTTTGATCAAAATATATTCAAGAATATTATCTTTCAAAAATGATCTAAATTTTGGCTTTGAAATTTAAGAAATAATTGATTGGTGATAGAAATTGTTTTTGGTTATCATTTCAAAAATGAATGTTCAACCAATCCAGGTCTTTTATTAAAAACATGGTTTGGAAGCGCTTAAATTTTAAACAATCTAAAATAAATTAAATAAAAATTATTTAAAGTAATATTTTTGAAATTTTTAAATTAAATTGGAATTAAGTAAAGAAGAATTGAAGATTGTATTTAGATGCTAAGTATGTCTATTTTTAATAATCAATAAAAATCGAAGTTTTACTTTTCAAACTAGAATAAAGAAGAAAAAGAACTAATAGATTTTTTGAATTAATTAATCAAATCAAAATTCCAAAAATAATTTACAAAAGGGTTTTTCTTAAGAGCAATAATGAAATTTAATAAACTACTGCAAAATTAGAGAATTTAATTTATTAGAAGTCTTTAAATAAATTTTTATATACATTTAAATACAATAATAACTCCATCAGAAAAATGGGTAACCTCATAACCTTAGAATTGTCTGTAGTTCTCAGAATGGATCTAAGTCTTCTAGAAATAAGGTTCCTTAAGTTCTGACTTTTCACCTGTAAATCCGAGAGTGAAACGCTGTAAAGTCTGCTTAGAATGGTGTCATTTTTGGCAAAATCTGGGTCCTTGTCGAACAAAGAATAGCAATTATTAAATCACTTATTCTTCAGACTTTAAGGCAGTTGTCCTCCCTTATTAACCTTTCATAAGGCCTTTTTTAAAGGCAGCCCTACCTTGCCATAGGTAGGTGCCCTTCTTCAACTCACTCTTTTAACACCAAAACTTAATAATTTAATTTTAATATTAATATATTGATAAGAAGAACTTATTTTTTTTCAATTTATATATTTTTATACATGATATTTATATTTGTAATAATATATAATTTTGAGAAGTAGTATCAAACAGATTTAGATTCAGTATTGATTAATCAGGAACCATTACTTACAATTCATCAAAATTTATTGTTAAATTAGATTGTATATATTTTTTAAATAACCAAATATTTGCAAACTATTTCAAAAAAATTTGATTATGCATTCATTCTTAAGAAGCTTTTTTATCATTTTTAAATATATTTCAAAGAATATTGTTTGATTTTTCTTATTTGTAAATTATATTTAAAGAAAATGGAAAATTATTTTATTATCAATGTAGCTGTATTTTAAATCAACTTTTTCAATATAGTTTCAACTTAATTAAGGGCTTATTTTTTACTAAATTTATGTCAATATATTTCTTTATTTAATCATTTTGTACAAATAATAACTATATTTTAAATTTTGAATTTTCAATATTCTGATATTAGTTTTTAAAGTGGTTCTTTATTTAATAATTTTTTTACTATTTTGAAAGAAAGCTTACATCTTTGATTTTTAAATTAATGAATTAATTTTACTTTATGAACTAATTCAAGTGGGTCATATTAATTAACTATTAAAATCATATATATTTTCTAGAATTAATTTAATAAACAATTAAGGAACAATGTAAATGAATAAAATTTTCTATATTCAATAGGACAATAAATTAAAATCATTATAATTTAAAAATATAAACAAAAACGAAAGAACTAAAATTAAAAAATTTTGTTTTTATTATATATTGAGAATTTTGATAATTAAATAAAAATTGTGTTCATCTTTTTTAAAATATTTCTTTTATAATATAATCACCCTTTCTGCATTATATTTTGAATATTTAAATTGAAATGAAGCTGTTCTAAAAATCATCATTAATAGAATTACATTATAGATACTTCAAGATGAGAGAAATAGTTTCTATATAAGTTTGATAGGGAGGAATAAAAGTTGGAAATGTATGTTGGGAATTATTTCCGCAATAATAATTTATATAGCTTATTCATAGTTTTGCATTCTGTGTTTTTAATATTATATTGTTTTATTTATTGAACCTAATCGCTCATAATTATTTTGATTTAATATAATATATATGAATGTAATCCCCTTAATTAAAATCTTTAACTTTATTTTATTANATATTAATATATTGATAAGAAGAACTTATTTTTTTTCAATTTATATATTTTTATACATGATATTTATATTTGTAATAATATATAATTTTGAGAAGTAGTATCAAACAGATTTAGATTCAGTATTGATTAATCAGGAACCATTACTTACAATTCATCAAAATTTATTGTTAAATTAGATTGTATATATTTTTTAAATAACCAAATATTTGCAAACTATTTCAAAAAAATTTGATTATGCATTCATTCTTAAGAAGCTTTTTTATCATTTTTAAATATATTTCAAAGAATATTGTTTGATTTTTCTTATTTGTAAATTATATTTAAAGAAAATGGAAAATTATTTTATTATCAATGTAGCTGTATTTTAAATCAACTTTTTCAATATAGTTTCAACTTAATTAAGGGCTTATTTTTTACTAAATTTATGTCAATATATTTCTTTATTTAATCATTTTGTACAAATAATAACTATATTTTAAATTTTGAATTTTCAATATTCTGATATTAGTTTTTAAAGTGGTTCTTTATTTAATAATTTTTTTACTATTTTGAAAGAAAGCTTACATCTTTGATTTTTAAATTAATGAATTAATTTTACTTTATGAACTAATTCAAGTGGGTCATATTAATTAACTATTAAAATCATATATATTTTCTAGAATTAATTTAATAAACAATTAAGGAACAATGTAAATGAATAAAATTTTCTATATTCAATAGGACAATAAATTAAAATCATTATAATTTAAAAATATAAACAAAAACGAAAGAACTAAAATTAAAAAATTTTGTTTTTATTATATATTGAGAATTTTGATAATTAAATAAAAATTGTGTTCATCTTTTTTAAAATATTTCTTTTATAATATAATCACCCTTTCTGCATTATATTTTGAATATTTAAATTGAAATGAAGCTGTTCTAAAAATCATCATTAATAGAATTACATTATAGATACTTCAAGATGAGAGAAATAGTTTCTATATAAGTTTGATAGGGAGGAATAAAAGTTGGAAATGTATGTTGGGAATTATTTCCGCAATAATAATTTATATAGCTTATTCATAGTTTTGCATTCTGTGTTTTTAATATTATATTGTTTTATTTATTGAACCTAATCGCTCATAATTATTTTGATTTAATATAATATATATGAATGTAATCCCCTTAATTAAAATCTTTAACTTTATTTTATTATTTACTTATGTTATTTATTCCATAGAATACATCAAATTGCATTTTCTTGATTTAAATTAAAATAGATTATTCTTTATAAAGTATAATCAATTTCCATAACATCAATTAACATTATTGTTTGATATTACACTTCAATTTCTATTATATTATGAATATGAAATTATCTTTTCCAAAACCTATTACCTAATTTAATGAGACAGTTCCATTCATCTGCCTGATATTATCGGATTTTCATAATTATTCACAATTAAGCAATAAATACCATTGTTATTTCCTTTAATTTTTATGAACCAACCCATTAATTATTAATATCAACAATTGACCAAATTAAAATTGTTTTATCATAACCCCCATATGTCAATTCTTTGATTTTTTTCATAGGATTTAATTTAATTAATCTCTATCTAATAACACTTGAATTTTTTATTAAATCATTTCTTTGAATTGATATATAATTATTTGATTGAACTTCCAGCTGCAACAGCTTTATTAAAACAAAAGCCTTAAAATATTCTAATATAAAATTGAATCATCTTAAATAAATTAATTAATTTGACTATTATTAATTTTCAAGTTGATCTTTGATTTTTTAATTGATTAGTAATGTTAACTCTCTTAAAGCATATCTCATAAAAACTTGGATTAACCAATTAAGAGAACTCATCTATTTTTGATGATGATAATTCTGATTTAACATTACTAATATGTTAAAATGGATTATTTAGAATGACTAAAGCAAATAATAAAAAATACAACTAAAGGTTTCTCAATTTTTAATATTTAATATTTGACATTTTCTTTTTCATTATAATTCTATTAAAAAAATTTATAAATATTATCAAACATTTTATCTTAATAAGTTTTTCAAAAATCAAAATTAATAATAAACGGGATTGTTGAGATAGATGTATTTTACTTTGTGGTAGATGAAGAAATTATAATTTTTTAGCTAAAAGCTATTATTAATTGTTCATAAGGTGATTTTGCAATTAGTATTAACTATAAGGATTTGCCAAATATATACAACTTTGCTACTTGTTTAGCCCATTAATTTATAAACACATTACATATAATTAACAACATATTTATTAGTAACAACGAGGATTTTACCCTATAATTCGAAAAAAGTTATATTAGGGAAGAAAATAGAGAAATGAGTATGCACAATATTATAAGTAAAAAAGCTATAGATATTATCAGATTTGATCTCGGCAGATCTGTTTAGAGAAAATAAAGGTTGAAAAAAGGTAATCAGAGAGGTTATTTCTGATATGCATAGAAGTCTTCTACATTTGATTACCTTTCCAAATTACATAACTAAGGTACTTTACAGGATAATCGGAAATTTAATTATCAATTAAAAAAAATAAATAAATATTCGAAAGAGTTAACATAAATTAATACCATACTTATATAAGATTGAAATATCTTAATTTAAAAAAAAGAAATTTATTTATAATAAAGGAATTGGCGCGTTTGGGTATCTCTCTATCTGTATTATTTTCAAAACAATATTCAGTCCAATAATTTAATATATCTAAAACTTTTGGAACTTATGATGAAGGAGATTTATAACATTTAGATATTTGTTAATGTCAAATTTAATAATAATCTATATTATGAAGAAAATCAAAGGTGAGTAATTAATTTCCTTTCCTCCTTACCATAAGCATTTTTGTTTACTTATTTAGTATGAGATATTTTAAAATTTACAAGGAACATATAATGACAAATACTAATGCTATAATTAATTATAAACTCTCATTTATTGACAATTTCAATTTATCTAATGATTTTGGTTTTTATTTTCCTTTACTTTTTGGAAAAATATTATACTTACCAAAAACTTTTTGGCTATTAAATCTTTACTAAAACTTTTCACAAAAATAACTGAATTGTAATACAAGAAGCTAAGAGAAGAATTTAAGAAGATAGATTGAAAAATTAAGATAAATTGTATAATATGTTTTAATTGAGATTCTATATTATTTATTAGGAAATCACTAGAAATTTAACTAGAAATACAGAAGTCTCGTTGAATGAAAACAATATGCATCATAATTCTTATTATTATTATTCTCCGATTTCAATTTCTTTATAATCTTATTCTAAAGATTTGAGTTTTTCTCTAAAATATTGAAATTATTCCTCTTCTATTCCTTCTAAAGCATAAACATTTTTTAGAAAACATTTCATCAAATTAATTATTTAATTATGAAAACACTTATTGTATTGAAGTGGAATTAGCTATCATGAAAGCTGACTTTCTTTATTTACCCAACTCTCCATTTGGAAATATACATGGAATAACTTTGTTTAGACAAAATGTGACTGATCTTGGACAACAGTCTACAAATTAAATTGTCTTTTTTTATTGTAATGTAGATGTTGCTCCACCAATCTCATTCATACTTAGGTCTCCTCTAAAAAATACAGAGCATGCCATATATTTTCCATATCTAGGATCGCATAGAGCTAACATATTACTTGGCTCAAAGATTGCATTTGAGAGCTCTGCAGTATGAAGTTATTCTATTTTAGACTTATCAATAGTTATAAATGGTGTATAAGAGCACAACAATAAGTGGGTTGGTAAATAAGGGACAAGTTTACGCTGAAAATCATCAATTTTTTTGTAAAATGATTTCCTCCCATTCGTATAGGAAAAGTAAATGATGATATGGCTTAGGCTATTAACCTATTTAAATTTTAATAATTTGGCTTTTCAATATCTAATTATCTTCTACAGGTGTCAAATATTGCTTAGTTATCAAGAACTGCACATACATCAGTGTGTTCTAATAAAGAATTCATAGTCAACATATAATTATATGGTTCATAAGTATTTTATGATTAAATTCGAGATGGAAAAATAGAAAATCCTATTACTGGTTTTTTTGGATAATTTATTGATATTTACTCCAATAATAAAGATCCAAATCCTGAGCCAGTGCCTCCTCCAACTGAATGAAAAACAAAAAATCCTTAAAGATCAGAGCAATTAATTGTAAACTTTCTTATTCTGTCCATGCCTTTTTCAATTATTTCTCCTTCTTATTTATAAAATCCTTTTGCAAAAGTTTTTGAACTATCTTATTTATCAACAATAAAATTATCAGGATGGAATAACCCTCTATATTCACTATTTTAAATTTCATTGATTTCATCTGGTTAAAAGTCTATAAATAATGACCTTGGCATTAATTTTTCATATTATTTATCGGAGGATATTTTTTAAAACAATTTCCCACAAAATTCAATTTTTTCTCCTTATAACCATAAACCATTTGGTTATATTTCTTTTTCCATACAAAATAATTACAAACAAGAATTACCATCTTGGATTCCAGCTTAACCAATGTGAATTGATATAATTTCTCTTATATATGATAAGAAATATTTATAAAAGAAATAATTTTATTTATATAATTTAATTTTAACTTATAGATAAAATATTATGATTTCATTATCAATTAATTATGAAAAATAATAAAAATAAATTATAATATAGGAATATAGGTAAATATTCTTCGAATAGTTTGAACCCAAGATGATTATATTTAACAAATTATCAACTTTGCTTATTAAATATTTAAAGAAATAAATGAGATTATTAATATCCAAAAATTATTTCTTATCCATATAAATTTGTAAAACTTATTGATTAAATTATAGATCATTGCTTCATTAGAATAAGATATCTCATTTCATTTAATCATTCTTTTTTGTTTTTTATTGATAAAAAATTATTACCTTGTAATCTTATTCATAATTTGATCTTTAATTTTAATTAAGTAGGATATCTTGTATAATTATTAGCTGATATTATAGATTGATAATTTTTTGAATTTCAGATTGATATTTCAGATTTTCTTCATTTTTAATAGGAAAGAGAAATATAAGGTAAATTATACTTCAAAATGATAAAAGGGAGGTAAGAAATTAGTTTACTTGTAATAAAAAGTGAATTAATAACTAATTCTTAATCTTAGAATTATAGTATTACCAGAGCTTTTCATCATAGATGATTCATGTAAAGTCTTTTGACCTTTAATTATTTTGATTCATCATTAGTGCCTTCAAGACTTATCAATGTTGAGTAATTATTTAGGGAAATATTCTCTTTAATTTTATTGATGTTTTTAAATGAACGATAACATAATGAAATGAAAAATTTAAAGATATAGAAAAAAGAACTTATTCAGTTAATAGCAAAGCATGAGAATTTTATGCATTTCGCTTATTTCTTTAATTGTAAAATTTATCTTAATTATTTCCTGAAAATTGGTAAAATAGACTAAATTAAACTTGCAATGAGTGACAAGCCAATTAGAAATTGAGAAAAATTTTACACATAGAATTAGAAGATTCTTAATAAGATAAGGTATTTTCTTAAAAAAATTTTTAATCCTTTCATCATTATACCTATCAAATTTTCAGCATTCCTTTTAATTGATTAAAATGTATTCCTTGATATAAGTGAAATGGATCATTATGATATCATTGAAAATGGAAAAAACTTGAAAATACATGAATTAAATAAATTAGAAGGTCATAGCGAGGCTTTCATTAAGGAGCAGATTTAAGCTAATTTTTCAATTCTAAAGAAAGTTGATTCTTAGGATAGCTAAATTGAAAGGAGTTAATTACGAGAATATTACAAATATATGATTAAAATTAATGTTTATTTTTTATTTTAATGATTCACCTCTTGGTTTTATTGTTTTGGTTTAATTTAATGCATATTTAAAAAATTATTTGTATTCGTAGTTTTGTCAATCAATGAATTTTATAATTTCCTAAAGAATGATTGGAATATTTTTTTAACTCAGAATATAAATACCTTACCTAATTTCGGCTTAATTACTTTTTATGTAATTTTCTCATCCCCTGGTAAAAGGGAATACTAAACCCGAATACTCCTGCTACTGTTTTAATACTTTGTAAAGTTAGGATATCAATATTAATATCTAGATAACGATAATGAGGGTATTATAAGACATTGTTCCTTCTAGTATTAATTAATATCAAATAAAATTTCATTATAGTAATTGTTGAGAAATAAATTTTATAAAAGTTTATGATAAAAATCATAGGGAGGAGGGATTGTAGATAGGCTTTTGGAAAATTGCATTCGAACTTTTGTTATTTTGAATTATGGAAGTTGATATAATTATAATTTTACCCTCCACATACAAGAAGGTGATGATCAATTGAAGTAGGAATCCTCTATCAATCAAACAGTCTCAATAATCAAAAAAATAAATCATATAAATTA